GTGAGGCCAGTGGTTGCACTGAGACTGTGACGCTTTGCAGGAACAGAGAACTGTACCGTTCTCCGGCCGTGAGGCCAGTGGTCGCACTGCTTCGCAGCGTGCATGTAATTCACTCTGCCACCAGGGCTCCCAGGAGCCACACAGCAACGAAAAAACTTCTGACACACAGTAGTACAAAACACCTAAGTATATTTCTTTGCATTTTTTTATTAAATGCTTTAGATGTGCTAAATTCTATTTTAATTAGACCTCAAACTTAAATTCCTTAGAAATGATGATACAATGACTATTAAAAATTGATGTCACTCAAGCAAAATTAACTTAAAAATATAAAATAGATCCTACTATGAAATATTTTAAGCCTTTCTATAATTATTCTGAGTTGAGAAGGTGTGTTATTAACAAAATGTTCTAAAATAATTTTTTCTTTTTCACAACTACAGCCAGAGTTATCAAAATGGTCTGGCATATAGTAAATATAAATGATTTGTTGGGAAAGGAAAGACGAGTGAATGGGCAAGAAAGACAAAACGGTTGCCAAGCAGTTAAGGGGGAGGGAAGTGTGAGGAAGGAAAGGGCCTAGAAGATTAAAAAGAAAAAAAAAAACAGCTGGTAAGCTAGGCTCCAGGGGGAAGAAGCTAGAAAGAGCAATAAAAGGTACTTACAGAGCACTGGCAGCAGGAAAAGAAAAGAGAAGATTATGAAGGAGAAAGGCAAGGGAAAAGATCAAGGAAATGGGAAAAGAAAGAAGGCAGGATTAGAGGAAAAACGAGAGAAGCAGGAGAAAGAGGGAAGAAAATAAAAAGCAAACTCAGAAAGATGACTTCATTATCTAAGAGTTTTTATCATTACGTTAGTCACTGCATAGAAGTATTTAAAAACATAGTATTCTTTCAACTCCAAATATTAATATTTAAATATTTATACATTCAATACAATTTTATACACATAATGTATATTTATATCAGTATATGATCAATAAAAATTAAAACAAGTTATTACAATCACATTTAATATACATTTTAAAATGTCTTTCCTTTTTAACTTTAGAAAAATCAGATCATTTATTTAAATTCCCAATCCATTATTTGTTGAGCACCAATAAATACATTCACTGGATAATTTGCACATCTTCTCCAGGCTGAGCGAGACTAGACCACAAGCAAGAAGAGCGTCATTTCCTGAGGCTGACAACACTAGCTCGCACCTTGGCTCTTTCTTTCCTGGTTACTTCCCTTTGCTAAATGTGTGTGTTTGCTGAGACTTCGGCCTTCCTTCAGATTATCTTTGTCTCTGAGCCCCGGTCTACTAGGGACGTCCTTTATGTTTGTCAACTTTTTCCTATTTTCCTTAGTTTTGCCACTTTTATCTGGGCCTATTTTCTCCTTTTCTCTATCCTTCTTACCCTTAGGAGACCCGTTAGTAGATACATTTGAATCGGGAAATGTCTTATCTTTCCGGTCATCCTTCTCCTTCTTCTCCTTCTTCCTCTCTTCATCTTTCCTTTCCTTTCTTGACTCAACTTTCTCTTTTTCCTTCTTCATTTCTTCTTTAATGAGTTCTTTAACTTTCAGGTTTTTCAACCAAAGAAAAAAGATGTTTATTAAAAATATCTCTAATAATTCATGAGGTGGCAATTTGTACAAAAATATTGTCTGTTGATCTACCCTCCCTCCCACCACACAATATGCTCATTCAAAAAGATATGTTAAGCCACTAATTTTTAATTGGTTAAAAAAAGGGATGCAAACCTATATAAAATGTCAGCAACAGAAGCTATAAACTTGCAACATACTTCTCCAGCTTGAAATGTAATATAGCTTATCTTAATGTAACATGCAAAATTATTAAAATGAGTCCCTTCATAAAATTAGTACTTTACATAGTAGGCTGGCAATACACCTTCCACAACGAGAATGACAGTTAAAGGAACGCTGGCAGCCTAAGAACTAAATTTTTATAACTTTTAGTTATTTACATAACTTTTAAATGTTGCTAACAAAAATCATATCCTTAAAATATTTGTGCTTACAATTCTTGAAAACAATACACAAACAAAAATTTAACTATCACTTTTAGCTAATTAAGCCAAACATAATTTCCAAGTGAGCACAAAATTTTAATTCCATTATCTAGAGTTTATCAAATAAAAATCCTCTTCTGCTTATATTCAACTTTATGTATTCAGTATTCCTTTAAACATAATTCCCTGTTAATTTATGTAGTACCATTCAAGCCAACACAGTAGAGAGCAATTAAATGAAATATAATTCCAAATATCTCTTAAGATAATGCTTAAAAGTTATTTAAATAAACTTCTGCAGAGCTGCTTGTTTCTTGTTAATTCACTGAGAAATCATAAGAGAAACACATTGTATGTTCATATACAATGTAGCACTGAAGCAGCAATAAAAACATAAAGATTTCATTAATATGATAATATGTGGGAAAGGTTTTACACATTAGAATCATGTAAAAGTCACGCTGCACAAAGTATCATTTAAAATGAGCACTGGCTTTCTGGTGCTTGCTAAGTGAAGCTTTATGCCTTTCTAGGCAGTCAAAACCTCATCACTAGAAATATGATGAAAACTGTGACTTTACGGAAATTCCTGTTGGGCAACCAGGAAATTCTTCATTCCTCTTGAGAATTACATTAAAAGCCTATGTAGTATAAAATAGCACGGATAGAGAACCTGCCTGTGAATCTTTTTTCTATTCAGTGCTGTTTGTAGCATTCCACAGACAAAGATTTTACAGGGGTAAAACGCAGGAATAATGCTATAAAGTCTTACTCTACATACTGGTTTTAAAATATTACATCTTTTAAATTTTCACTGCTTAACTTGCCTCTCCAGATCAAGAAGTAAATTGTACCTTATTGCATAATGGTAAAATTTCTGTTTTTACCCCAGGAATTATTCATGATGAAAGTTAAAACACTATAATTTCCTAATTCTACAATTAAAATACAAATTATAAAAACATCTACTAATATCTGAGAAATAAAAACTCTACAAACATCATGCTGAGTACTAGGACACAAAAGAACATCACAGCTTATCAGAAAGAAAACCATGCACTTCCCACGCCCTTCCTCCAAAGGTATGTTCATACATAAACAAGAGAAATCAAAAAGTAGGACTGTTACATGCTGTTAGCCAACCTGTAACAGTTAAGAAAATACCAAGCACAGCCAACTGTATGCAAACAGTTGCTCCAGGTTAAACACAGATTTCACTTTACTAGAAATATGTTTAATTGTAATGGCTTTTACTGTGCTTTAAGGCAGTGCGTCATCAGAGCCTTTGAAGAAATAAACACAATCACGGATGAATTAATCTTTTTCCTAACAGTAGTCTAAAATTTCAAATTAAGATTTTACGTGTTAAGGCAGCCAGGACGTATCTATATAGTCTAATAAATGCTATATCATAATTATAGTCTAATAGATGCTATATCATATTATAGCATTATAAACACAAAATCAAACTCTCTACCAACTCATTGCAACCTATAGGGCAGGAAAGAACTGCTTCTGTGAGTTCCCAAAACTGTAATTCTTTACAAGAGTAGAAAGCCCTGTCTTTCTCCCATGGAGCGGCTGATGGTTTCAAACTACTGACCTTGTGGTTAGCAAACCAACTCAAACCCACTATGCCACCAGAGCTTATTATGGAAAAAATGGTATCGACATACATAATTATCCATAAACTTTTGAGGCCCTGTTGTACTCACTCACAATGTAAGGACTGTTGTAAGTACTGATAACATGAAGAGGACATTGCGAGTCATGGATTAAACTATTCATGACCAGGGTGCACCCAAAGTCAAGATGCAGTGATGTTTAGCATTAGAAGCTGCATTTACATAACACCTAGAAACCAGCATGCATTTTTAAGAATCAAACCTGATTCATTAAAGCCTAATTTGAAAAGAAGAAAATACCTTTAGCCTTAGTGTTTCTTTTGGTTTTCCCACTGGGTCCTTCTGCTGGTATTGACAAGATAAAAATAGATTATGAACAAAAATATTAAGGAAATTCAAAAATAAGTACTGATAAAACAGTTCAGCAGATTAAGTTACTTAAATTCAAAATACAGGTAGTCCCAGACTTACAATATACTCAAGTCACAATATGCACACTTCATGAGGACTGATCATTTTTTAAGTCGAATCATTTTTTAAGTCGATTTTATGTATTTTCGGTGTATATGGATATTGAAATACAACTGTAAGTTTATATGTAATGTTTACAATCCCAAAAGACAAATAATGATTGGACTGATAACAATACTGATAATAAAGGCAACAAGGCAATAATAGCAAAAATTAAAGGAAAAAGGAGGTTTTCAACTAATGTCAGAACCAATTTATTGAGGAGTCTTTCAAACAGACTCCACACCAAGTACTACTCTTAACACATAAGTATCAATGATGTCACTCAAGGCATTTTAGCGCCTATTATTTTACTGTGTAGAATAGCAAGATGGTTATAATCAGCCTCACTTAGTCGACTTCACCAGGACCTGAAAGAAATGCTGACTGCAGAAGGGTTTAATTACCACTGGGGAGAGAAACAGACTCTCTCTCTCAATCCTGTGTTATCTGTTTACTTCTAATTCAGCCACAGATGTTAACCACCAGTGACAGAACAGCCCAGTGACCTAACTTCTCTACTCCATCACACGGCCATCTACAAGAGGATATCCTATTTTGATACCATTTGAATAAATAGTGGTTTTTCCATTACCTGAAACTGTATTTCTTTAAAAAGTTATATGTACATGTAAGAATTATATTATGTGAGTACATATATTTCTTTAAAAAGTTATATATACATGTAAGAATTATATTATGTGAGTACATATTAACACTTTTACTCCCCTAGTCTTTGTAATAGCTTTTCCTTTAGGGAAAAAAAAAGTTCTATTTGTACTTTTGTACCGCTAACGTACACCTCTCAATACATTCTCTTTCTACATTCTTTAATTTACATCACAACAAACTGGCAGTTTGAGCATCTACCAGACTCACATTAGGTTCTTTTAAATGTTCTTTGCATTTTGAAAAGAGCTGTGGTGGTAAAGTGGGTTACCAGTTAAGCTGTTACCTGATAGGTCAGCAATTTGAAACTACCAGTCTCATCTACAGAGCAAAATGAGGCCTCTAAAGATATACAGGCTCATAAACCCAAAGGGGAGGTTCTACTCTGAGAGTTCTATTCTATAAGGTTTCTATAAGTCAGAATCAACTCGGTAGTAAGTTTTGAGTTTGGAAAACTGAAGGGGCAAGATCAGAGGTGGAGGGCATAGTTTCCCAACAAGATTCTTGTATGATAGTCCTTTTTCTCCTCTGCAATAATCAGGTGTGTTGTCAATGGAAAAACATTCCTTGGCATACCTTTTCTGGCCTTTGTCGCCACTGTAGTTTTCCATTTTCTTTAAACTTTTTCATAAGTCCCATGGTCATCCTGTATCCTTTGAGAAAAATCTATCCATATGAGCACTTTGGAATTCTACAACATTTGCCAGATCCTTCTGGGCTGATGCCTCTGCCTTGAATAACAGATGCCCTCAAAAACCACTGCTCCGTCTCCACCTTCATTTTGAAGGCACTCCTAACTAGACTAAGGAAAGTGCATTGCTGCAAAAGCTTACCTGTAGCCACTCACTGACTGCAGAAGCATATTTTAAAACTTTTGTTTGGAATAGATTTCCACATGCACGAACTGGAACGCTAGTAGTATCTTCGGACTCACTCTTGTATTGTTCAACTCATCTTGCTTATCTGTACTCTCCCCCTTCTCTAGCTTTAGCCATAGGTGCACTGTCACGTAACCACTGAACTGCTGGCTACCAGGTTAGTGTTTCCAACCCACTAACCTCTCTGTAAAGCTCCTCCGGAGATTTACAGTTTTGGACACCCTGTGTCAGTCACTATGAGTAAGAATCACCTCCATGGCAGTGATTTTGGTTCTCCTGTGGGGAGGGGAGTTTTCCCTATTGGTAGCCATTTGTTCCCATTAAGTGAGGCAGTTGTTTTGTAAATGTTAAGTATTTTTATTGAAATATCACCATCACCAATCTGTAAAAACAAGGATCAATGTGTTTTAGGACTAAGTACCTTAAAAAGGAAACTTATATGAAAAACAGTTCCATTTTGTTCTAGGTAATTGACACATTGATAACTATAACTGTTATGTGTGTAAATAATAGTTGTCATAGATAATACTTGACGCTCCCCTTAAGTTACCAAAATTAGCAGGACCACTTGGCAAAACTAAATGTTTAGCTTGGACCACACCCTATTAAAGTTTATTTAATAATAAAGCAACAAAATTATTTCTATAATGCTAACTATGTATAGATGAGTTTATTCAATGTATATAAATTAATATCAAGAAGTTAAATACATTATCTTGCATCTAAAATTCTCTCCTGCCTTGTGTGTGTGTACACATAAGCCTCACTTTTCCTATTAAAAAGCGCAATAGTTGAAAAGAGAGTCCTTACATTCATAGTCACCTCTACCTTCACCTCTAACCGCCCCTGGTATGATATAGTTAAGAGCTACATTGATGAAAAGGTTGATGTTAACATTTATCAGTTGTAAGACAAAAATATTAAAGTAGCATCAGATTAGTATAACAAGTCAAAGATAGCGTAACAAGTCAAATATACTTCATTTAAAAATTTTCCAATTTCAGTATAAACCTATAAACTGATACTAATTTATAATGCTCATTATAAAAAAAACTTCCAAAGTAAGCTACCTTTTCTAAACTTATAAAAATATAGCCAAGAATTCTTCTAATCTTTTAGATGTGACAAAGACTGAGCTGGTAATTTAAACCACATTTAAATAACCATATTCAGTCTCTGAAAGTTACAGAAATATAAGGAAGCACAGCACTTAAAGGCCAATTAAAAAGTCCCAGGGATCCAGCCACCCGCTCCCCGAGGGCGTGCAGCGCAGCCCGGTGGGCGACATCATCAAGCGCTTTGAGCAGAAGGGCTTCCATCTGGTGGCATGAAGCTCCTTCAGGCCTCCGAGGAACACCTGAAGCAGCACTACGTTGACCTGAAAGACCGCCCCTTCTTCCCAGGGCTGGTGAAGTACATGAACTCAGGACCAATAGTGGCCATGGTCTGGGAGGTGCTGAATGTGGTGAAGACGGGCCGGGTGATGCTGGGAGAGACCAACCCAGCGGATTCTAAGCCACGCACCATCCGAGGGGACTTCAGTATTCAAGTTGGCAGGAACATCATTCACGGCAGTAATTCGGTCAAAAGCGCCGAGAAAGAAATCAGCCTCTGGTTTAGCAGGAGGAACTGGTGGGCTAGTCTTGTGGCTATGACTGGATCTACGAGTAAGAGGCCGACAAAGCAGTCCCATCCCCGTGGGCCCACTGGCACTGTGCCTGTCCTGTGGTTGGAAGCAGTAGGATTGATGCCCTGTCTCCTTCCAAAGCACACTGACCAATAAAATAAAGTCTTTGGAGGGAAAAAAAAAGAAGTCCCAAAAATCAAGAAAGGGGCAGTGGTGGTTCAATGTCAAAATTTTCACCTTCCAGGTAGAAGACCAGGATTCAATTCACAATACACCTCATGAGAAGCCACTGGCTGAGGCTTGCATACTGCTGATGCTTATCACATTTCAGTGAAACTTCCATACCAAGATAGAGTACAAAGAAAAATTCAGCAATCCACTGGATATACTCGTGTATAAGCCGAGTTTTTCAGTACATTTTCAATGCCATTTTTGTGGTAAAATTAGGTGCCTCGGCTGATATACGGGTTGGCTTGTATTTGGGTATATACAGTAATTCTGAGAAATAAATCAATAAAAATCCTTTGGGATCAAAACATTCCAATCCTGTACACAGAATTACCATTAATAGTTAAAAGTAATTGCCATTAAACTTAATTTACTCATTAGCAATGAGTTTTAAGTCAAAATTAGTTTACTAGTCAAATACTGATGAAGCATGTAGTCGAGAAACTGGAAAAAATATAGAAATATAAATATATAGCCACGCAGGGAATCCAGGACAGATGATCCCTTCAGAATCAGTGGTGAGAGTGGCAATACAGGGAGGGTAGAGGGAAGGTGGGATAGAAAGGGGGAACTGAT